ATCGATCCCATTCACCAACTACTTGGTTAATTCCGCTTACACTTTATTTTCATTATTTTTCATCCATCCCGGCTCTCCCGGTCCAATACGGATAGGCCCGGGAGGGCAAATGGACCAGCAAGAGGAAAGATGCTGCGACGGACCCTCCGCTGCGTGGGATGAAATCCAAGCGTGCTAGATCATTCTATTTACTTTTCTGGGCAACTTCTAGCTCTTCTCTCTGATCTCTCCACACCGTGACGTAGCCCTGGACCAATCCTCCCGTAAAGCCAAGGAGGCTCAACGGCACAACACTCCACGCGTGGATCAACATACTCACGCATGGGTATGAGCTCATACGCGTTCAGGCACTTCTTGCTTCAAGAATAAAGTTGAGAAACAGCCACTCCTTCGATATCCACAGGAATTCTAATCCCGAGACGATCTTGTTGTTTCTCGGAATTTAATTTAACGTCAGGTTTATTATCTCGATGCGTATACGGTACGTCAATACTGGACCGAGTGGGATGCTGTTGGGGATTTGGAAATTCATCTCGACTAAACGGTTTGGTTTTAGAGTAATTGGACGTTTACTCAGGTGACTGTACCATGTATACCATAATTGACATAAACCTTCACGGAACGAGTCCCTTGATCCTGACCAGTTGAAAAACTTCCTGGAACGATCAGGAAGGACACTTGACTGCTGTTGGCTGTAAAAAAAAATGCAGGATCACGTTCCGCGCAGCATCCAGCTATGCGCGCATCTAGGATCTGTCTCCTGTGTAACGCAGCGGAGGATCCCGCGGCGCGGATAACGCCGTTCGGCTCTCGATGGAAGCCATTGGGAGGCACGTCTGTAAATTTCAGGCAGATTACCTCGTACAGTTTTACGGCGAACCAACGAGGACGGCAGTCCTATAATATTTCCTCGAATTTACGATCCCGCACTGGTTAGATCTTTATTGCCCGCAGCTCGCGCCGCGGGTCACTCGGTCCCATCACGCGTCCACGGGACACTTTTATATTGTCCGTGGACAGTCCTCCGGGCACCTTTCAAGAGGAGAGAAAAGGACAAAGAGAGTATTCGAATAACAGCTTTACCACCGCACAAGTAAAGCCTATCTTTACGCAATTTTCTCCCTATTTCCCATTGTGCCAACTGGATTCTATTCCCTCGTTAAACGGCGACGCGAACGCGGGACGTGAAAATGGTACTATTTTTCTTTTTTTTCTTTTTTCTCTTTCTTTTCACTCAGCCTTTCCTACCGTCGTAAGACGTGTCGCCTACCTGGGAGTCTGCGAGGGGAGGCATTTATTAAATCTCATTCTAGCATCTTTTGTATCAGGTTACCACCGGGACCACCGTCGCCGTCGCCTTCGCCTTCCTATCCTTACAGGAATGCAGCCTGGACGTGGATTTGCTCTTCCTTTGTGTTTCTCTGGTACACGAGTGAGGAGGTCGGGGGGAGAAGAAAGTAAAAAGTACATGGTGAAAATAGAGACGAAGGGAAGCGGCCGCCGGTGCATCGCCCGTTTCTCGCAACAGCTGCGCCAATGGCGCGTCGCCATGACACGAAAGATCCTTGAGCTTCTAGTAAGAAAATCGATAAGGGTCGTGTCGACGCCGATCAGGTTGGTAGTACTCGTAGCTCCGGAGGTACCAACCCATAGCCAGCCCTCGCCGAGCCACGCAAGGAATCTCCCTTGAGAGCCCAGTGGAAAACGTTATTACCCGGACTCACGATATTCAAGCGGCCTCGAGAGTAGCCAGAGATACTTCCATCCCCTTTGGAATCGGAACCACCCCCTATCGCGGGCCACCCCACCCATCGCCGTACCGACCCTCGACGGCCAAGCCGTCGCGTCAAAATTGCCTTTCCTAGACGCGGCACGCTCTTTGGGACTCTTTGAAATTCAAATGAAAACTCGAGAAGTCGCTCGTTACGGCCAAGACCAGTGGGAGACTCAGACGGGACATCGTAGAGACTTTATCGAGGACGTCGAGGCGGAAGGTATTGTTTACGTCTCTTTGAGATCCGTGCCCCCTGTTCCCCCTCCTTGCTAGCTTAGATCCTGGGACCTTATGACCCTTGTAACGGAAGCGATTTACCGACCGCTGGAAAAAGTCTTTTGGTTTCTCATTTTAACTCCAAAGTACCGACCCGTGTCCGTCGCCGGGTTTTGGCCTTTCTCGACCGAATCGGAGCCAATGGCATTAAGGAGTGTTTGCAAACTTCTGTTAAACGTCAGGGGGTGGTCAGGGGGGAGGATCCTTGACACGCTCTTACACAATAAGGAGGAAGTCGTGTCTCGTCCCATATTTTTTACTCTCCACTTTCTTGGGTCAGACCCTGACGTCCCTTGGGATAAAATGTGTCTAGGTCTCTTATGGTGAAGTCCTGAGAGACGAGAGAGAGAGGGAGAGAGTGCAGGGTGAGCTATGAAACTCAGCCAGGCTAAGGACGACGGGGGTCCTTCGGAATGTCCTCCAAGGAAGACATATTCATTTGTGCGACAATAGTTAAGTCAGGATGAGGGTTGACCTGTCACACTGGAAAACTATTAGCCCTTGGGTGGCGCTTTGCCAGGAGGGTCGTGAACTTGCCGAGTAGCGTCTGGGACTCGTATTGCCTCCCGAGACGGTGAAAGTCACGTCAAAATTCACAGCTAAAGTTGCATCGATTTTTGACGGAGCGTTAAAAAAAATCCCTAGAAAAGTTACTAAAAATCACTGAATCCCATAGTTCGCTAGGACCCTTCATCAAGGATACGCGCATGATTGGTATCATTGGGATTGACGAGCATCACACTTGGGCAAGAAGGGGTGTGCGCGTCTATCTAAAAAATGGTGAAAACGGAGCCAAATCGCGCCGTGCTTCTCTACCGATAACGATGCCATCCATCCATCGAGAAGACGCTATCTGACATAGGTGGTTGACACGCGTGAAAGGACACATGTGTGGAGTGTAGAGCGACCGTAGGTGTAAAGGCAGGGCCGTCCATAGCTGCCAGGATAAAAAGGGGCCCATCAATATTTTTGTCCCGATAGGAAAAAAAGACGCGCGCTCCATCCGGTCAAGACGATTAACGACATGGCGGAGGCCGCCGGGAAGCCGCTGCGGAAACGCGACTGTCTCCACGTTACGATTTATTCCAAGAGATAGAAGGGTGACTCCTGCCTGCCGCGGCAGTTTAGAATTTTCAAGAGCCGCAAGCACAGACGTACCTCACGGATCGTCGTTTCCAAGCACGCGTCGCGAGACGTCGCGACGACCTACCTCAGACAGCGGGGTTTTGTCGACGGGAGGAAAATCTATAATTTAAGAAAAGAAAAATTTGTGACTCGATAAATTTAACGTCCACGTTATACGCGAACCTTAGAATCACTTGGGTCCATATTTGTGTTGGGCATAAGGCCCCTGACGCGTACGGCCCTGAGACACCCACTCGCAGGCACTGTGTTTGTTATCTGGTGGTATGACCACCGGGCCTACCGTTCAGTTCACCCAGCACAACACACATGCTGGACTCGATATAGATACTGGCTACGTATGGGAAATGATAATCCTTTATATTTTACAGTAAATTTACGTATTGCATCTACAAGCGTGGTTGCCTCGTGGGTAGTTTCCAGACGCCAGGCGTCTTCCGTGTATCTACGAGCAACTGGAGTCTGTTGAATCTGGATGAATGCGCGTGGTAGGTGAAATTCTATGTATTTAGTGAATTCTCAAAGTTTCGACCGGGGGAGTCGAGAAGTGGTCGGATGTTTATCCTGGAGGAGAAATCGTCTCGAGGATGCTTCGAATGGTCGATCGATATGTCCACAAAGGAACGACGTAAGCTAATTTCAGGCTGAATAAAGCGTCTAATGCGTACTGGGTAAAATCCGGTTAGCCTTACTGGCTTCTTAAGATAAATTGCTTTTGACGGATTTCTAAGGCAGCTTCCGCGCACTCCACGACTCTCTCTCTCTCTCTCTCTCTCCCTCTCTTTGAAGCCTTCCTCTCGCTCCTGAATATCGCTGCAAGTTCGAGGGTCGGGCTTTTCCTTTGTGGATCCTCGCAGCATCCCCCTGGGTCCACTGGACTCGCTCGGTGGACATCGTGAATGTCAACCATGACCCAACAATGAGGGGTGCTTATGGGAGGGCACCACCACCAGACTACCAGAGTGCAGAGGCAAGGGTAATAGCTGCTCCGGCTACTGGATGCCTGCGATATACAGGGTGTACCAGATCGTACGGATACCCGAAAGAGGGAGACTCGTGAGGGAGAAAAGGAGAGAAGAGTATTTTGACATACAACCCTGTGTATTCTTTCGACGAACAGTCAATGAAGTAAGGAAGGAATTAAAGGAGGGATGAAAAAAGTCAAAGCCTGCATTTCATTTCCGGATATATAATTCAAATCCGTTCTCATAAATACATGCAAGCCGGCACGAGATTGTAATCAGTAGCAAACGCCAGCCGTCCGTCACTGTCAATCTGTTACGCCCTGAGAAAGGAGGGGAAAAAACAAGACTCCCATCCGGGAGCATGAAGGTCCCAAGGCAGAGGGTAGTGAAGGAACTCGGACAGGTCAAATTATGGGCAGGTAGGTAGGAAATCACACAGCTAACTGATTGAGCGTCGGTTGAATGAGAGTCTCGTTATCAGTCTCGGCGGGATGCCTGACGTCACTATGAGCTCTCGATACTCCAGCTACATGCCTGAGCCGTAGAAACGACCGTACGGTACGTACGGTACGTGCATGCGTACGTACAGAGCAAGCCTAGGCGAACATGAATGCATGCAAGCGTATAGCCAGTCAAGCAGGCAGGCAGGCAGGCTGGCTGGGTGGGTGGCTGACTGGGTGACTGGCTAGATGGCTGGCTAGCTGGCTGGCTGGCTGGCTGGCACAGAGCAGTGGGAATATGGACTATCGGATGGAGAGAAGCATAGCGAACGGTGGTGGGGGAAGTGGCACCGCGTCGGTGGTGGGGGAAGGAAAGCGTCCTCGGCCTCCAACTCCTTCGGTACGTCGCGCCACCGACTCGACGGCAGCTTCAGTGCGCTCCCGTCCACCGTTTGGGGAGGATTGCTTCGCGTCCCGGTGCAACGCACGTGTCGAAACCTCCCCGAGTACAATTCATTCTCGAGACATAACCAAAATATTTAAAGCCGGTGCGCGGATGCTGACTCACGACGATACGTTTATGGAGCTGATTTAGTGCGTGTGTATCTTGTACGGGCGTTTGTGCACAGAAAAAAAAAAGACTCGCGGTAGCTCCGGCCCTGTTTGTTATTCTGTTTAACCGAGCACGTGATAATGGATTAATTTGCTGGGGTTGAACAGCTGCAGCAGGCCTACACTAAATTAAGGTGAGATTTCTTACTATACCGGAGCGCCCCTTGCAACCCAGCTCTCTCTCTCTCTCTCTCTCTCTCTCTCTCTCTCTCTCTCTCTTCCTGTATCTACCTACGAGCCCTACGAATCCTCCGATATCTCAATGGCTCTCCGGTTCATCCTGGTCGCCGTCTCGTGCGTTGCTATGCCAGGAACCCGAGACACTACAGTCTCTCTCCTGTGGCTGTGCTGTTTATCGCTCACTCCTCGTCTTTGAACTGGGCACTCTCTCTCTCTCTCTCTCTCTCTCTCTCTCTCCCAGAGGCCCAGCTTCAGCTCGGCAGCACATCGGAAAGGGGATACCTGACTAGCCAAGGGTGCTTCATACCTGTCAACTTAACCTGCCCTCCCAGAGTTCGGGGCAACCTCAGGGACATCTCCGACACGCAACCTGTCACGGACACCGAAGAATCTAGAGTCAGTAACCAAAGAGTGGAGTGTCTCCGTAGGCTGAAACGAAGTGGCCTTATCGAACGGCCGAAACTCATTGATTATCAGCGATATACGTAGAGCGCGAGACCGCGAGCAGGCGCGACGCATCGGGCAGCGTTCCTGAATTGTGAGGCCTTCGACAGGCGCCCGTCGCTGTCGTCACGGTTACTCCAGCTTGTATATATGTATATACACAGTCACTTTGTGATACAGTGTAAACCTACTGACTAAAATATCTGACTGCTTATACGACTAGCTGTCTTTGCGTATTCGCCAGCGTCTCTCGTTACCCGCTCGTCAATACAAGTTCTCATGCTGTACGACGCGAATGGTCCAGTCACGGAGGAGGATGCCCAGCATCCGAAATAAATGTGAAAGAAAAAGAAAAAGCTGCGAGAGGGAGGAAAGTGGCGGCCGCGGTGGACGATTACGTCAAGAGTGCTGACAGGTTGGCCGTGTAAAAAGTCCATGATGGACATGAGTGGTGGGGAAGGCGCGTGCGCCGGGCATCCGGCGAAGATTCCTCTTTGGCGAAGCCTGCAGCAGCTCGGGTACGGAGATCATCGAGTCTTCGGTGTAAATACTGAATTTCCCAATGGTCCCGCAATCTATTGGCAGTCCGAGCGCTCGGACTGTTCGGAGAAGTCGCCTCTCCGATTATGCCGACTCGTGACTGTAATTCTAATAATTCTCGGCAGTCCGGTAATATATCTTTGACAATTAGCTGGCGGGAGGCGAGGGAGATGAAAAAAAAGAAGCGAAAGAAAAGCATCGGAGATGGAAGCGGAGGAAGCTGAGCCAATGGCGCTTCGAATGCATCCGATAGAGTCGCTCGTTTAAAATATGCCTTCGAGGAAAGGCACAGCATCCCTGCTCCAGGGCTGCGGTCTGCATCTCTTGGAGGTGCCCGCCCCGTCCTTCTCTAGCGAAACCGAATGGAGATGAGGCTGAAGAAGAAGCCGACACAGGGCTCCACGGGGATCTTGTCCTACTTGAGCTCGGGACTCGCTTCGAATAACAACGCGCGCGAATTCCCTGTATTTCTATCCTCAAGGCCTTGTCCACGTGTAGCGACAACCTCGCGCTTACTCTCCACGTATCTGCATTTTCTTACCTTCTCAACGATCCCCACCGATATTGGTCCTGCTGTCTGCGAACTTTCTAGGGAATTTGGCGATATCGTAAGTAGGAGAAAAAAAAGAATGACGCTATCAAGGGAAATACTTTCTCTCCACAGGAGACTATCGCTCTCCGCCCTCCGCAGTTATCTCTCGCAGCTTCCTTCCCGTCTGCACAATGCAGCCATGGTTGTCGCGTCGATGCACTCTGCTTGCACTTTGCCGTTGCGGTGCAAAGCATCCTTTATTCGCTCAGGAAAAAAAAGCGAGTGAAAGAGAGACAGGGCCGGGAGGGAGGAGAAAGATCTGTTGAAAGAGCACAGGAAAATAGCTGAAAGCAGGGAGAGAAAATGGGAGGAAAAAAAAAAAGAACGAGCAATATCAGCCGGACGTCTTTGATTCATCGCGATAGGAACATCCATCACGTGATATCTTATCAGTCTCGACGGGCACGAATATTCCTCGGTCGCCCACGGTAACGTGTAAAATTGCGCTTCGATACAAAACGATGTATTAATATTTCCCATATACTTTTGTAACCTAGGTAGTACACTTATCACTCCCCCATAAGAGTTAATCTTACGTATGACAAATCCCAAGGGCACCGTCGAAACTCAAAAGTCGCTAATTAAATAATTTAATTGGGAGCAAATCGCACTTTTGTGCAATTAACGAGAAAGTAGGAGCGCTTACGTTGAAATTCTTCCCCTCTTATAATTTTCCTTTCTTTCTTTCTCCACTCCGACGCTCGTTCCTCTGTCGCCTAGATACACGTGCGCGCACGTGTAAACGCCAGCAACGTGTTTCTCGATTCACGCGATACTTATTAATTGTGTTAATTACAAGGTTGGCTCCGGCCCCCCGTTATAGCTCGAACAGCGAGAGTAAAGGCCAGGATGCCAGGATGCCAGGATGAGTAAAGCCACGCGAGGCTACAGTGCCGAGGTAACAGTGGAGGATCGAGTTGTGAGAGTAGCTGCGCCGGTGCAGGGATGCAGGAGGGATAGCTGCGGTCCATGTGCGCACCACCGTAGTACACCGGGTACATATAACGCGTACGTAAATGCTGGCGCGTAAGGGGGAATCCGCATTAGAGGTGCGAACGTAGGCGACGGCAAGCATTGTGGCTAAATGAATTATTTTTAACGAGGCAGCACTGTGCTTCCAGGCACAATGAGTTCCTTGTCCGTGAAAACTTGTTGGGCGAACGTCTCTACGTGGCCCCTATGGTGTACGTGGGTTAGGTTAGGTTAGGTTAGGTTATCCTGCACTTTTGTTTCCGTTGCAACGGAACGTTTCACTGGGTTCCTCGGAAGGCAGGTGGTTGGTTGTTCGATTAAATGGGAGAAAATCGGATTTACGGAAGCGGAGACGATTTCGTACGATTTAGCGGAAAACTACAATTTCTTTCCTCAGGCTGATTTGATCGCTCAACGTCACTTTACGCTTGTACGAATTTTCGTCTTTGGTAGAAATGTGTGTGTGGTGTACCTATAGGCGCTAGACGTCGCCACTTTCACGTAGACGTCGTCAGAGCGTCTTACAGTCGGTCGCGAGGGGGTGGTTCAATGGCAATAGAGCCCAAGCGGGGATACTCTCCTACGCCGACTTCATTTTTCACTCCAATTACGCAATTCCACATAATTTGTAATTGCGTCGGTCACTTATACAGGCGGGCGTCGCGACGTGCGATAATACTCCATTCCGCTCTTGATCTCTAGGTTTAACTCTCTCTCTCTCTCTCTCTCTCTCTTTAATACTTGCCACTCGCTTACTAACCGTAGGACGCATTTCACGGAATGGCATATCTGCATAACGGGTGTGCGAGAAGAAAAAAACTACCCGGTCTCTCTCTCTCTCTCTCTCTCTCTCTCTGGCAAGTAAGTCAACACCAGTTGCGAGACTCGTCAATCTGCCTCCGAGGAGTCTCCCTAGTTCAGAGCGTGTCGTATCGCATGTGTAAAATATACATTTTCCTTGATGCACGGTCTATCCCTGAAAAGAGAAGACAGGACGCGCGGCGACCGTGAGAGACGAAGAGAGGAGGATAAAAGTTAAAGAGACAAAGAATTTGCATGTACAACGCTTGGTCTCGTTGAGAAGATCAAGTAGAGGCGTTGGTAATGTGCCATTGCGCCATTGCGCCATTGCGTAATGGATTTTAAAGCGACAATACGGCGCGCGAGGTCCCCCGAGCTCACTGCGAAGAGACTCGCTCCGGTTTATCGAGGAAAAGCTATACGCGGTCACCGGAGCTTCGGGGTAACCCGAAACTCCCGGTTCTCCTGTGGCGGCAGGTTACCTACAGCCGCTTCAGGACGGCCGTCGCGGCGACGCTCGCCAATGGCCAATCGATACCCCGAGGATCCCTTATCCCTCGACGCGCTTCCTTCGTGCACGAAGGAGCACCCAGAGAGAGAGAGAGAGAGAGAGACGGCTCTCGAGGCTCAGCCGCTGGTCCCGTCCTCGAGCGACCTGATGGAGGACCTCCTTTTGGCTTTCGAGTCAAATGGAATCGCTCGGAGTTGCTTTTTCTCCAGCACCGAGTGGATCCCGCCGACGGGGAATTGCAAGGTAGGGAACTGCCGGGTCGATAGTCAGGTCTCCGGGAGAGCCTCCTCCGCGGGGAACCGGCGTTGGCGTCGGGACGCTGCGTTTCTATCGACCGCCGCACTTGCGTCTGGAAGCGCCGGTCGACGTGGACGTCGCGGTTGACGTCGATGGTAAAAAAGCGTCCACGTGGAGGCGCATGGGGAAAAGTGAAAAACGCGTCGGGACTTTCGAGCCAAGCTGCGCCCCGGCTGTTGCTGCCAGGTAAAGGAGGCTGCGTGAACGCTGCCGTAAAACGGCGTTCTTGTCGGGGGGCTGGAGAGGGGGGGGAGAGGGGGGGCCGAAGGCCGCGCTCGTTTATATGATAAATTAATCATGCCGCCAAGAAAAGCACACGCTCCCGCGGCAGACGGCGAATCAAATAAGATTTCTCGCCGGCAGGAAATTCCGGTTGCCTCCCGTGCATACGTATACGAAGCAGAACCCAACCTACGGGACGGGTTTTCTTTTTTTCGCACTTGCGAAAAAACTAGACGCTTCCTTAAGCGACACGCAAAATAACAAAATAATGACGAACTTACTCGCCTCGTCCAATGAGCTCTTTAGCTGCTCCGCCGCTACACGTTGCCTCCCGTTGCCTCCCCTTTACACTGTGTACACCTCTGCTTCGCTCTCATCTGCCCATTCTCTATCAAGGACTCCACGCAGATTCTGCTTCTTCTTCTTCTTCGCCTCCTCTCTTTCTTTCCTCCCTGCGGTATTTCGTTTGTTGCTTTTCTTGCCCCGTGACGTCACTCCCGCCTCCCCTTCCTCAACCGATCAACGATCGATAGTCTCGACTATTGGTCGTATTAGGGCCGATACCCAATAGTGGAAACGCGCGATGGAGTAATCGCACAAGAGGAAACGCCACGGAGCGTCGCGACGCTTCCCGTCTTTCCTGGTATCGGAAAAGGAAAGCACGTTATCAGGAATATAGAGGCCGTGCGCGTTTCTTCCACGCAGGACGAACGAAGGTGGCTTCCTGGGCCGCACGCAGCGGCCGATCGACGGGAAAGTTTATCGCAAAGCAATGAACGGTTGACAGCTCTGTGATGCATCGGTGGTGATCTACAGTGGCGTCGCCAGCTAGAAAATGAAGATTCTCAACGTTAACTCCGCGTGCCCGTAGCTCCCAGCCAGGCTCCCTCGTATTCAGGCAGCTGCTTAGAATGCGAGATATACATGGGAGATCGTGAGCTCTCGGTAGCAGCCTCCTTCTCGGGTCCTCTCTCTGCTACGCGACTCCCGAGTCCAGGCTGGCTGGACCCAGCAGCACCTTAAGGTCCGGTCACAGTCTCTACCACTGCAGCCGGGCCAGACCTGACCTCGAGCAGGCCAGGAGGCGTGGGTTGGCGACAGATCGCCAGAGATAAGTAGCCGCAGTACCAACAGCAAGGGGGTAGCCGGGCAGTCCGGTGTCCCGGTTTAAAGGAACGTCGTCGCTGCGCTCGGAAACATACGTATTTACCCTTTGCGTTTATCTCTGTCTACCTCTTGGACTTTTACTTTTGCTAGGTAGACCCACGACCCGACCCACGACCCGACCCACCTACACCCGGCTGCCTATCTGGCTGATCGTCAACCTCCCAGAGACGACCCATCGCGTCTGGTCCTGATTAGTCGACTCCTGGAGCGGATGAAGCATCTCGTGCAAAAGTAAATAGCTCCGCGGCTAACGACTCGCTCCAGAATCCAACGGCGACTCTGGACTTTGGGTCTACCTGGGGCGACTCCTTGGGTCTCGGCACGGCGCGTGCATTGCTGCACTTTTTCCATCGCGTCGGTCAGGTGCCAGGTATAGGTTTACACAGGATGCACCCGGGGAGTCGTGTTAGGCCGGAACGCAATACGGTAGGAAGGTGGCGGAGCATCTCCAGAGAGTAAGCGGAGAAAGAAGAAGAGCAAAAGGAAGAAGCTTTGGTACAGGAGGAGACACGTAGCGCGAAGTAACGAACGAATCGCATCCAATTAACCAACCGCATAAATCCATAATTCATTGCTAATTAATTAGCAGAGGTGTGGCTGGAGAATCGCTTTTATCGCCTTTACGAACACGTAAAGCGTTTCCTTGCACTGGCCTCGCGCAATTCAACCACCCCATCCACCCCATCCACCTTCGCCTAATTTAACCTCGATTTTATGTCCTACGATTCTCAAAGTCCTGCGATCGCGCAGCCTACACGGTACCTGATTCCTGACGGAGCTGCCTGTGGCGTCGCGCGAGCTACGGTTAAAGCTCCTTCCACACCGTTCGGCTCGAACGCAATTCTCGCGATCGTCTATATAGCAATTATAGGAAAGTAAGAATCGACGTACGTGAAAGTTATACGGAGAGTTTCATATGGGAGAGCAGAGGGAGATGGGCCTCTCGCGACGTCCCTGACACTTGCTAACGAACGAGACACGGGTTCGTAATCGTATAAAGGAGCCAGAGTCGACTTTGGTCGTATGAGCGATTCGTGCACGTGGATGGATAAATTTTGGCCCCAGGGGGCACCTAATAAATAGTACAGGTTTATCACTTGACGCGGTGGCAACGATTTCCGATTTTGGCTATGGGACCGATCCTGGCCTTGCTGGACCAACGGGGCCAGCCGATACTCAGGCTCTCGGTTCCCAGTCGCGAAAGGAGTAATTTCTCTTCCTTTTCATAAGACTGTCCCTCCCTCCCTTGCCTCTCTTCTTTCTCCCGTTATTTGGCGACGGACAAACGCGAGTAAACGGCATACTCGCCAGAGCCAGTTAGCGCTAACGTACCGGCGATCGGGCGATCGGGCGATCGGGCAAGCGAGCTAGAAGGCGAGAATCGTTCTTTTTGCCCTGCCAGTCCCGTGTCGATACATCAACATTTCTCTCGGATAAAATACTAAAATGGCAGGAGATATTTTATCTACTTGTCTCGCAGCGAGACATCACCGTGACTCTCAACTCGCGTGACTTTCGATAGCCCCAGGAGGCGCTCAGTGGACGGACCGTTATCGTTCGGGAACGGATACGAAAATTCTATAGGAGCCTATCGTGCCTCGGTGCGCGACTACTTTGAGGCTGGTATACCAAGAGAGAAACGAAGAGAAGACTCTTCCGATCACCCTGACTTATCTATCGTGCTAAGGGTCATCGTCGAAGAATTTCGCATTTACAATGTCACGACGAGGAGCCCATTCCTTATCGCGCATTAAATCTCTCCTCCCTGTTTAATGGCAACCCGAGGCGACCGTCCAGGCTCGGACTAGCTGCTACCGATGGTTATCGCGATCGGTCCGGTAACGAAGTTCGTGCCTATTTCTCGGTCCAGCGATGGCGCAGAAGGTGTCGCGAGTGAGTTGGAGTCCTCTCTGAGCTTGCTCGTGGGCCGGAGAGCCCCTGCCGGGTAGTGCCTGGGGCACACGGTGATCTCGCGCCTACCTGTAGTTTATTTAAGAAACTCCACGGGACGCGAGCTAACCGACCTAGGAGTCTACCGAGTGAGCAAGGAACGTGGGTACCAGCGCCGGTGCCTGTCAGTTACTGGCTCGCAGCAGCAACGGCAGCAATGGTCCTGGTAGAAAGGAACTTGCTGTGGCCACTCGAGCTACTCGAAACGATAGGAGATAGCTTTACGAGAGAGAGAGAGAGAGACTTCATCCTGACGAGAGAAACATCATGGCAGAGTCTCGAGACGTATAAATATTTTCTTGGTTAAAGAAAAAAGGAAGAGGCCAGATCCTCGAAGCAAGGATAATTTATGCAAGCGCGTCCTGGTCTCGCTGCGGACTCACTCTATCCGACTATCCGACCATCCGACTATCCATGTCCGGCAATAAAATTTATTCGCTCTCTCGTGAAGAAGCAGCGATTACTTTTCCTATACGTGTCTCCTCTTGGTGTCTATGATGGCGACGGGGACCAGTCCTGCCTGGTGCATCCAGAACACGAGCTTCAAATTAAAGAATCGCAGGATTCCCCTGGCAGTGGGGACGGTCCTTGTACTGAGATCGCGATAACGCTACCTACACGGTAGGATCCCACCACATATCGCAAGAGGGAGGTTACATAGCGTGTCCGACATTGGCTGTAGAAAGTCCGGGTGTAACGTACCGGAGATTCCCGTGCGCGGCCGCCGATGCTCAGCCAGGGTCGCTGAAAGTGCATCGCGGAGGTCGGCCTGAATTTTTATCAGGGTTCGTCGAGGTCGCAGCTTACCGAACCAGTTGCTAGATCAGCTTGGCGCTCGTGAGGTACGAGCGAAATCAGTGGTCCAGGGAATTTGAACGGCAGGCGTATTTTTAGCGCGGACTGTAGCCATACGAACGCATGATTTACATACAAGAAGAGTATATCATAACCCAAACAACGCTGCCCCGCGTATTCCTGGCAGTCTGGGCTTTAAAACTGATTCATTGCCAAGAGTGCAACTTGCTGCCGTTCCCCATTTCTTCCTTCGTCTCCCCGTACTTTCTTCTTTCTCCTCGACTTTCCCCCTGTCCACTCCCATACTCTGTCTCCGCCCCCCTCAGCCCGTCCCTCAGCCGCATTCAAGCCTCGCTCGGAGTTTTCACCCTAATGGAGAATTATTGCACAACTAAAATATACTCGAGCACCCAAACGCCATTCCTTTCGCGTACCGAAACTTCGGTCAAGCCTCTCCTAAACTTTTCTCTCCTTTTCGTAAGAGATACGAGAGATAAAAAAAAAAGGAAAAGGACCAAAAAAATATTCAAGCACAAAAATCTAGACTGCCGGTAGGTCAAAAAAGTTGGACGGACGTCACGAGCAGATAAGCCCCACTGGCTTGGTCCTGGCCTCTATTTCTTTTTCTCGAAAACTTATCTGTCCACATGGGGCGCCAACCCTGCGGAGCCATGGCCTGCGTCGCGACGCGTTGCGTAAGCGTCGTCGAGATGCGCGATGTGGTGGGGAGATGTCTAGAGTGAGACGGCAGGCTTTACTTATGCGTATACGTATACGCGGCTAATACGCTCGAGGCTCTCCTCTCCCATGAGTCACGTGTTTGCTTGCGACTCTTAGGGCGCGCGTGCACCGCACCACAGGGATGGGCGATCCTCCATTTTTCACCCTCGCTAATTGCGCTGGGTTGCATGCCACAGGGGGTAGTCTCGATCGACGTGCGGATCGAACGTAGTCGGACAAATCTCATGTAGACCAAGAATCCTTGAGTATTCGCGTCACGGTTGAACAGCGTGGACGAGGGGGGAATAGGTGCCTATACACGTCATGGGGATGGATGGAAACACCCCACCTTAGAGAATCGCCCTTGGCCGCAGAACTGATCCAATTTTTCTCTTCGACGAGCACTCGCCCTGTCGAAGGGTCTTTAATGCCAAGAGCGTCACGTCACGGGCGTTGCATGTTAAATTTGGTGGCTCAAGAGAGAAGAAATCGTTTTTATTGGCCGAGAGACGAGGAGCAAAAATTGAAATAACGAAAATCGATAGAGCTTCTCTTGGTCGTACCGATTTGACTCTTATATGTCTCTCTCACTCTCACTTACGCGAACGTCCATAAGTCTGTCTCTCTCGCACTCGCTGGTGGTATAGGAAACTCGAAAAAATTCAGATATTCTCACCTTGATCTCCTTGTCCTGCTGGATCCACTGGTCGGGTCTGTCGCGATTAACTGAAGTCTGTTAATTAGATAAATTTTATGACGTAGATGCGCTTAAGAAAACAGTCTGCGGATTTTTGGGAACGGGTTACGTCGAAACAACCCTGTCCCGTTGCTCCGTGAACACGGGGATGCAACGCGCAGCCACCTATAAATAGCGTCACATTAGAGCGCAGTTAACAAACGTTAAAACTAACATAGCCTCCTACAATAACATTTCGCTCCGGTCACGTGGTAGCCCTGCTCGACTATTATAAGATTCCATGACTGTTTCTTCGACTCACTGGTCTACCGTGCGATCGCTCACCAGCCCTGTTCTATTCTTCCTTTTTCCCCCTTGAGCATACCACACGCCTTCGACCTTCCTTACTTCCTTGAACGACTTCCTTCAGCTCGCTGTCTCCTTCTATTACTCGCTTGAAAGGGGTCTGTGGCCTGTGACTGGCTGTTATCAGGATATGCAAAGGGAAGCTTATCGGAGATTTTTTTCCTTTGGGTTTCAGGCCGGAGTGATGCTAGCAAGACGAGCCTGAATAAAAGGTCCTTCGCCATGGGCCCAGATCGACGGACAAGAGTGTTCCTCGTGCTGCTCTCGCTGCTGCCTCACGTCCTGCAGGATGTACACTCGGAGTCGGCAGTGGGTCCAGCCAATAGCGTGGGTCCTGCGTCCAGTCCTGTCGGTGGACCGTTGGGGTCGTCCGTGACGGGAATATCAGGAGTAGGCTTGGGTCCTAGTTCTCCGGGCATCAGCAACGGTGCCATAGGAGGAGGCAGTAGGTCTAGCACTGGATCATCAGCTGTCCCTGGACCCAGTGGAGCTGGCGGCGGAACTGGCGCCACCGGAGGCATTGGACGGTGCGAAGAGATCACTATACCGATGTGTCGTGGGATTGGGTACAACCTGACCTCCATGCCCAACGAACTGAATCACGACAGTCAGGATGAGGCTGGTCTGGAGGCTCATCAGTTTTGGCCCCTGGTCGAGATCAAGTGTTCGTCGGACCTCAAGTTCTTCCTCTGCTCCATGTACACGCCGATATGTCTACCCGAGTACAGCAAACCTCTGCCGGCCTGTCGCAGCGTCTGCGAGAGGGCCAGAGCTGGCTGCGCACCCGTGATGCAACAGTACGGATTCTCCTGGCCGGAGAGGATGGCCTGCGAGCGACTGCCCAGACACGAGGACCCCGACAACCTCTGCATGGAGCAGGACAATCGTACCAGCAGCAGTGGAGGAGCCCCGAGCAGCCCACCCCTACCTGCGCCACCGAGACCGACGCGCCCTTCGAAACCTACGCAGCCGCCTAGATGTAAGCCTGGAAAAAACCAAAAAAACTGCCAACATCCCCCAGGGGAAAGGGCGAGGGACTGCGCCTGCAGATGCAGGGCGCCCCTCGTGAACCTGGGGGCAAACGGGACTCTCGACATGGCCGCCGGGGGAATGGCGGGTCTGGAGGTACATCAGTACATTGCCGGGGTGCCGGATTGCGCCCTACCGTGTCACGGCGCGTTCCTCACCCCCGAAGAACGAGGATTCGCGGCCGTGTGGCTAGCCCTGTGGAGCGGTCTCTGCGCCGCAAGCACGCTCATGACCGTCATCACCTTCCTCATAGACACCCAACGCTTCAAGTACCCTGAGAGACCCATAGTCTTCCTTTCGGCGTGCTACTTCGTCGTGTCCCTGGGATACCTGGCGAGGAGCGTCCTGGGCCACGAGGAGATCGCCTGCAACGACCTGGCCCTGCGCTCGGGAGCACAGGGACCAGGAGTCTGCGTCATGGTCTTCCTCATGATATACTTCTTCGGCATGGCCTCATCGGTCTGGTGGGTCATCCTGGCGTTCACCTGGTTCCTGGCAGCAGGACTGAAGTGGGGCAACGAAGCCATAGCATCCTACTCTCAGTACTTCCATCTGGCAGCGTGGTTGGCACCCACGGCCCAGACAGTCTGGGCGCTGTTGGCCGGCGGAGTCGCGGGGGACCCAGTGGCTGGGGTCTGCACAGTGGCACCGGAAGGCGTGCGGACCTTCATCCTCGCGCCACTGCTAGTCTACCTTCTGCTTGGTACGAGCTTCCTTCTAGCTGGCTTCGTGAGCCTCTTCAGGATCCGTTCGGTGATAAAGCGTCAACCGGGTGCCAAGGCCGACAAGCTCGAGAAGCTGATGATCAGGATCGGGGTATTCTCAGTGCTGTACACGGTACCAGCGAGCGCCGTCCTGGCCTGTCACCTCTACGAGTCGACCCTGAGGGACGAGTGGCTAGGGTCCCTGGCCTGTCCCTGCCGACCACGTGCACGACCCGTCTACTCCGTCCTGATGCTGAAATACTTCATGGCCCTGGCGGTCGGTATAACGTCAGGCGTCTGGATCTGGAGCGGGAAGACCCTGGACTCCTGGAGGAGGCTCTGGCGGCGTCTATTCGGCGGCGGCGCCGGCGCCGGCGTCGGAGGAGGCGCTGGCGTCGGAGGGGTAGGAAGCACCGGCATAAAGGGCGTCATCGGACGTTCGGCAGGACCACAGTACCCGCCGCCACCGGGGGTCGCCAGCGCCCTTCTTCCACCGGGTAGCGTCACCAGCGCGTCTCAGCACCACCTCCACCACCACGTTCTCAAGCAACCGCCGCTCTCGCATGTATGACGTCACCAGTCGGCGGGAGGCGACATGAGCACCGCTGGTTGCGAGCCGCAGCAGCAACAGCAGGAGAGGCCTTCCGCCCTCAGCAACTACGGGCCCATTTAGCCCTTCGCCTCGGCCTCGAGAAGGCACACACCGCACGCGGCCCCGCACACGGCACCGCACACGCCGCATTCCGCGGCCACGATTTACTCGAGACGTTCGCTGGCATCGACTACGGGACCTTTGACCCCGGCGCACGGACTCGCACCTTCGTACACACAGGCCACCGAAGTCTGAACCCGAGCGATCGTGTCACCTTAGCGCGTGCCGCGCCTCCTTCTTAATATTCTCATTCAGCCCCATCGCGTCCCTTCTTCTTCCACCCCCTGATTCCTCATCTCGCGAGCCGCGCTTGTACATTGACATAGGAAGAAGGAGACGAAAGGGGGACTGCCAGTGCGATGGCCACGAGGAAGACTGATCGACCGAACCTCAGAGTTTTCGAAACCCTCGGAGCTTTCGCCAAAATTCTTCGACCCCAAGTAATATCGATATCTAGGATACGAGGTCGTCCTGATAAGCTCAAAACTTGAACCCCCGACACGCGGGGGGGCCTGACCTTACTCTCTCATATTCGAATGGAGTTCCAGCGAGTGTTCGCTTGACCGATATACGTATTTTGCACCGCGTGCGTGTCTTTTCCAAATTGAGTATCGGACCGCCGTTAGTTTTAAGACTCGTGCAGCCACGGGAATTCGTTATGTAACATACATGTATCCAGTGTGTCTCCCCGCGCGGAACCTTGCGGTTCGCGGAGATTATTGTCGTTCTTATCATTTCTCATTTATTCATTTTCTTTGTAAAGGGGGGTCAGGGGGCAACTAGTCGCGGTTTGATACTCCCTCCGCACGTCTCTCCCTTCTCACTGCCACTCTCATTACTCTCCTTCCGATCTACACTTGGTCCTCGTATCCTTCCAATTTCCTATCTCCGCATCTCTCGTAACTATTGCACTCCACTCCAGTGTACCCTAGTAGCGATTCGCTCTTGATTCGCTGCGCTCTCGTATCTCCTTGCGAACGGGTGTAAAGCCTCGTCCGCATGTCCGTCTAATGTGTATCGTCTCGTCTATTTATCTCTAGCCTAGCTCTAACGAATAACTGTAGTAATAATAATAATAACGATTAGCGATCGCACAGCGCGATGGTCCGCTTCCGGTAGCCTAGATTTTTCATAGGAACTTTTTATACGACCTCGTCCTTGAATCCTGACCGAGGAGAAGATTGGGAAGATTTCAAAAATCACAATAACAGTAAGTGCGACGGGCTTGAAGTTTTTGGAAATTTTACAATTCTCGTGCGGTTCCACTTCCTTTTAGGGCCGCGACACTCTCTTCGCTACCCTTGTACTTTCTCCTCGGGCATTCAGTCCTTTCTTCTCTCTCTCTCTCTCTCTCTATCTTTCACGTCTCTCAAGCACTTTGTCCCTTTTCTTTTCTCGAATGCCTACACTTGCCGAAGGATTCTTCGAGGATGAACGATTTGCCTGTAACTTGAAAGTACTCCGACCGGAAGTGGACCACGGGAAGCGCGTCTAGAACGAGAGGGGTGTATATGATAGAGATTAATGAAACGAAGGAAGAAGAAATAAAACAAAGTACTGGTGTAAATATGAAAATTAGACGATAGGCTAATTGTAAATAAATTATCGTCAAGACTAAAATGAACGTGAAATCGGCACGAACGAAGTAGATTCTAGGATGTACAGAGGACGATTGCTGCGGACGCGATTTCTCATATTCGGATTGAAGCGCGACAGTGAGAGGGAGGTCAAAAAGAAAGGAAAGAAAAAGTAATGGCAGGCACGCGCGATACGAGGGAAAATTAAAAGAGGAATAGAAAAACAAACGTCCGTTTCGAAGGCAAGTGGGGCGAAGAAGCATGTACATTTTGTAATGCAGCTTTTTCCCCCACGTTTTACCAACAGTCGTAGAACAGACAGCGCCGAAAGTCGTTCCACGTATTTCCACTCTGTATGTATCGCGAAACGGTCTGAGCCGTGCCATTCTTCAAATACGTAATGTTTTTTGGAAAAAAAATTTCGGAATTCCCCCACTTCCATATATTAGCATCCGACTCCGTGCAGTTGTGAACCCGATACGATAACGTGGAATACCGTGTGTCTTGCACGTGCTAACTGCATTCTTGCCACGAGCGGATGTGCGATTACGTGTCCAAAGAGTGTATAGAGCGAGAGAGAGAGAGAGAGATAAGAAACAAAGGAGAAGGATGAGAGTGAAAGACAAGGAGAGAGAGACGGAGGATGAGGAGTAATTGATTAAGCGAAGGACGTATCGAATGAAAGTTAATGGAGCGAATTAATGAAATGCGTGAAAATGAAGTTTCTTTTTCGTACGAATGCACTGAGATACGAAGCGAGGAATATTTCATTAATTAATATTCCACGTCAGATCCCGTTTTCTACCCGCGACGCCCAAAACGTATGAATGGATGGATACGTTGCTCGTCTTTGTTCTTTCGTCCGTTTGATCCAAGACTAGATAACAAAGGCAAGAGATGATAATGAGCGAGTGAAAAAAAAATAAACAAGAATTCCAAGTCGTATCTCACTTGGCGATCCTCGCATTACGAGAGACCCAGAGACGATGGACAAAATAATCAACTGTGAAGCCGTCACTACCGTAATAAAGAAAAAGGAGGATTTCTTGAGTGAACGAGGTAAATGGAAAAGGATTGACACGTGATATAAAGAATTTAAAAAAAAAAAACAAGTATCCAATACATACCTACCTACGTGTCTAAGTCCACAGTCTAAAGTAGTTCTAAGTACCGCGATATCAGATACATAAATATACATAATATACATAAATATAGCAAACAGCGTCTCGACGCCCGGCGTCGCCCTACCGGCATCTGCGTTTCTGTCTCGTTAACGCGTCTCCGCGAACGAACCACGTTCTTCTTTCTCCAGCGGGCAAATTATATTTGGCTATAGGCGGGACAAAGACAAAGATGGCTTCATCGTCTTCTGACGGATATTCAAGAAAATTCTATAAATCAGCAATAAAATTAGGAGAGTAGAGTTCATTCCATGTTATCCGTCGAGACAGTCAATAAAATTTCATTATCGCATTTTTTTTTTTATATATCCGTCAGACGATACCGTTTGGGCACGTAAAAAAAATGTCACCCAAGATTAATATGGATGCTAGTACGTAGAGATGAGAGAATAAGACGATGCTGAAAATAATACGAAATGTGTATGGATGGAGACGGGATTAAGATATGATAGAGCGGAAACGGAAACTGCCTCAAGCAACTTAACAGCCGTCGTACCTTCGGACGGATCCTCTGCCAAACAAACGTATATGTATAATAAAGCGATAGGAGTTTAAAAAAAAAAAATAAATAAAAGAGTTAGTCTCACATATCAACGTAAAGTCGTATTAAACGGAGAGATCGGGCAATGTTATTCGATAAGAATGGAAGTAAATATTCGTATATAATATATTGAATCGATTTTGCATTTATTACGGAGTATACGGATTACATGGAATATAGTAGATAGACGCGCGACGAATAGGAGAAAAAGAAATAAGTGCGTTATTAATAACGCGCGACGACGTCTATTCGCGAGAATCGCTGATGGGAGAAGTTTATAATGAATATTTGTAAGCCACCATTTTGTCATAATTGTCAATAAAAGGAAAAGTACTATGTGTAAGAAAACGTGCGTGGTGTGTATGTGATACATATATATATACATGTTGGGTATGTTAAATTTGCGTACGCGTGACAAAGATCGCAAACGATCATTCCTCGATTACAATTAATTACTATTATCAATTTTCATTTTGTAATCAATCATATAGTCTCTACGCGTTACATCGTTCGGTTTACTATTATATTATTTTTTTATATATCTCTCTCTCTTTCACTCCTCCAACCTTCCCGACGATTTCTTCCCTCTCCCGTACCCCTCCGTTCCCCTTTTCCAAATGGACTACGTAAAAAGATTTCTTTTCCAAATCTCTATTACTCTCCCTGAAAGATTTCGCGAATCGCGTGCGTCTCTTATTCCGATAGGATCGGATACCCAAGTTACGTGGCGTTTTGTGTATAATTTATGTTGCCATAGGTACGAGTAACCGATTTAAACTATTAATACGGAAATCAAAATTGTATACGATTTTTTAATACACTTTATTATTATTTACGTTATCGTCTCTTTAATTTCGAACCAGGCCAATCATCCTACCATGATAAGTAATTCACACAATGATCAAGTCCCGACCACGTGTAGACTGCAGCCTTGGCCGCAAACGACGATCAGCCCTCTTGAAATTGTGAGAAAGGGCTGAAAACAAGGTAAGTATACGTATTACTCTATATCCATCACTATATACATTAGCGAGAAAGAACAAAAGTCCTACCCTCTATTAAACTCCACACGAGACTGTCCGGTAGTTTTATAAAGCGATGCCAGGGGATGGATGTTGATCGTGCACACAGCCTAACCCCTTTCGCAACCCCTTTTTCTCGCCAACCAGTGAGAAACACGTGAAACGAGGCTCCGCGAGCAAGTGACTCACGTCTCTACGTTTACCAGGAAACTCCTCGAAATTTATGACGCTTTACTAACGATATCGCCGCCCCATAAACAAACTGTGTTCTCGACATTTATAACCACGAGTCTTTGGGACCGATGATCGAGATACGTATCTCTCTTAGTCACTCGCTCATTAAGCCAACTGTTTTCACTTGGTAATTATCATTTTTCCTATTAGCTCAGCCACTTTTACACGTTAATCACTAACAAAATCTTTTTCTCTACACTCACCAGAAACACTTTTTTGACTCGCAACTTTACTTTCCTACGTGTCTCGTCTCACGTGTAACCATCTGCTTCGACACGATCCCGTACGAAGCCTATTGTCTGATTCGTTGCTCAGTTCGGCCATGTTTCTCTGTCGGTAACTGAACGCCTGCCATCGGACGGGCTGAACTAACAGGACATTCGACGCCGTGAATTTCAGACGGTTACCATCATGTCCCTGATTTACACGTCATGCTGCTCTTACAATCTGACTGATCTATATGTATAACACGCACAGGGGTCGTTCACGTATGCAGCTAATTAGCATTAAGTCGTTCTAGGAGTCCGGCGCTTTGCTCGCAAAGCAAATACGTTTCAAGGTATGTCAGACATATTCGTAAAAGTCTCCTTTACGGATTCCATATGTGTACTTCCGTTCTCACGACCCCACCATCCACACCGTCAACCCTCCTTCGTATTTTCTACTTAGATCTTTCCAATTACCAGAGACCTACCACTGGTTCCGGTATCAATGACGTGGTGGTGTTGGAAAACGGTATCGCAGAGTCGTGTATAATGAATTTTTCTTTTTTTTTTTAACAATTTAAAAGATAACTCACGCACTGCTTCTATGGGTCAAGATATATTTGGAAAAAATTATTATTTACGAGCGAGATAACGTTCGGAATTTACTGAACACTTTACCGACTCTCTCGACGTACAGAGAAATCATTGTAATGACTTAGCCCCTCGAGGATTCCGAGTGTCTCGTAAAATTACCCAGTAACGAGGCTGATAGAAAATCAATAAATTTTAATAACAAACGTCCCCTCTAATTCTACTTGCGTGATTATAGTTTTTTTCTTTTATCATTTCACATGAGAACCACTGGATGCTGATCCATCGCACAATGGGCTCTAACATGGCTGACACGTGTCAGGCTGATCTCGGGGTGGCAAACAACCCTTTCGTCATCGCGCCATTCTCACACTTGTATTAAAAGTCTATCTAGATTAAAGGAGACAGTCCTGCATATATTTTCTTAAAATTTTCCAAGATAACGTGATAAAAGTAATAACAATAATAATAATATTTTATACTACAAACGAGTCCAATATAGATAACTATATGGTAGTCGGTCACGTTTCAGTTGATCTTACGACTCATCCATCCCATAAACATATGTATCCACGTATGAGCATACGTGTCAAAGTTCATGCATCCGATACGATAATACACTGTTTTTATTAATTTACAGGCACTTAATAATTTAATCGCGTGGACGCTCGATTTACCGTACTTTTTATTCCCACCTCTTTATAGCCGAACGACGAGGGATTCAGGCGTAGCAGTCTGATGCAGAGGGATGAAAAAAAAATAAAAGGCACAAGAGGCGAAAAAAAGAGGGTGCAGTGTAGGGTTGCACGAGTTATCACGGATTGCCGAATACGTTTATCTTCTCAATAGGGAAATTAATAGTAGGCATTCAGTGAATCCTGGAGAAAGATAAAAAATCCAAGCATCTATTATTTCGTCCCCCAACCTCGAATTTGCCGCTTCGTTTTCTTACGCCCTCGAATTTAATGCAATTTGCGGTTCGATAAATTCCAGATAAATCAATTCACCGTTTCTCATTACGACTTCTTCTATCGACTCGTGTGAGGGTGTTATCCACCCATATGTTATCCTGAATCCATACGAGTACTATATATAAATGCAGAAATCTGGCGGACAATGCCGAAGGGTGATTGTCATAGGTACGCATATACATGCATACATATATACTCACTGCCCTTCGATCCCATTCAAATTAGATTCCCATGTACGACTAATCCGACTTGCAGCAGCTGCACGGGACGTGGTCGCCCAGTTCACAGCCGAACGTTAATTATTAACCATCCATGGATTAGCTGCCGATGACGTAGGAGAACAGAAGACACAACAAGAGAAATGCCCGGAACAAGCATACAAAAAAACGTATAAATTCATATTACGTATAAAATTAAATAGATACAATTTTTATTAAATTCATACCAAACGATTGCACGAGAAACGATCGATGATAGCGGACGCAGCTCCATTTACGTATAATGTATTATTAATAAACATTTATCAGTAGAAGTCAGTGAATTGCGATAACCCGTGATACATGGAACCGAAGTAAAAGGCAATTCAGATGGGTTTCTTATGTTACGTCACTATGGCTCAAGAAATCAGGTGCTCTCAGTCCGTTATCCAATGACGAGATGATAACCGGTTGAAGTTCTTTCAGATTGATTTAATGATAATTAACGTCCAGTCAAAGTCAATTAAATTCTCCCACGCTTTCTCTCTGTCACTATACAGTACGCCGTACGTGTACTGTACGCGTATACCGTATTAGTGGAGGATGATTTCGCGGCCACGTGGAGGCATCGTAATCCCCTGATCCTCGGATTAAAAGCCAGAAGCACAGAAGCCGTGAAACAGTGCCGAAGTCTCCTTGGAACAATAACTCCGTTCATAAAGTTACGATGACTTGGAATAATATTATGCCAAGCGGGTCCAGGCTTTCCTCACTATTTTTCCACAAGCCTTGACGGCCGTTAGAATGGAAAAGATGGGTCACGCGTGTGGTCAATAACCCTTTTCTCTACCGCCACCATATATAGTCTTATACACTATATCAATCCAAGTGTGTATAGTGCACGTCAGCATAGCAGCGACGTGAGGGTTGGTTACCTGAAGGCAGGGTGAGTCAGTTGAGAGACTATACCCAGGAACAATGCACTTGAGGTTATTGCGTACGCAACCAATCATCCCCCAAGTACGACAGGATGGAGGCTGTGCTCCGGATACTGAACTGCGACCATTCTGGATCGGAGAGGGGAATTTCTCACGATTCAGGGAAACAATCGTTTCTTGAAATTCCCGAGCAACCCGAGTGAACCGGGCTGTGGAAATATTCTGTTCGTGAAAATCGGGACACCCTGTATATGCGTGTATGCGCACACGTGAAAGGAATGACGTCAGACCGTTTGTCTGTCAGGAATAACAGTGACGATGGGGATGAGAAATATCATCCCTTGAAATTGTCAGTTCGCGACCGAAATAGAAAGCAACCTGGAGCTAGACGACGTCCTGCAGGGTGTCGATGGAGTCCAAAGTTTTTTCGGGACACCCAACCGCTCCAGGTTTGGAGTTTGGATATACGTGTTGCTCGTATCCGTCAGAGCCTTCCTGGGTAGGGCATACG